AGTGAATTATGTTTTTATTGTGAACAAAACTTTTTAATACTACAAACTTTTTTCTGAAATGTTTTGTCTTAACCTACTACTCCAACTAATATTGTGTTTTATTTTTCCATTAATTGCAATTTCATATATATAATTAAATATTTCAACTAGCTCAGCAAATGATAGGATTTGAATAATAGTGAATATTTCATAAAGAATATTTTTCTGGAATTATGTTTGATTATACTTTTTGTAAAGTTGAGAAAATAACATGTCATTTCAAATTTATAAACATGGAGTTTGAAAATTTAATTTGAAGTACTTTTTCTAATTTGAAATTTAATTTCGAATTCAATTTGAAAATATTATAACAAAACCTGTATTTCGATCTATAGTTATTCTATTTTTAAAATTCGAAATTTTTATCAAAAGTAAAAAGCTTGGCCACCTCTTCATATTATTTGATAGTTGCGAAGTCTAATTAAATAGCTAGCTACTTGTACAACTAATTACATACAAAAGAAATAATTTTAGCTCAACTTCAAAAATATATTAAATAAATAGTTGACCTATAACATTTTAAAAAATAATAATGTTGTAGACAGGTGATATAATTTTGTGTATATATATACATTGTGATGTAATTGTTGGTATAGCTTACCCTCTACCCTCTAATTTCCTTCAATTTTTATTTTTAAAGTAAATTAGTTAGTCCCATAATTAGAGAAATCTGCTCGCAAATTCATTTTTTTATGTTTTTAAAAAAGTCAATTAGAAAAAATAAGATTAAAAAAAAAGTTAATTACGCAAGCAAATCTATGATGTATATATGATTTTATTGCACGTCATTAAGAACATTATAATAACATTTATCAAAGTCATGTTAACGAAATTGAATTATTTTATATATTGGGTTTAAGGTTTTGATCAATTGAATACTTATATATTATTTTATTTATAACCGCCCTCTTTATGGCATTTTGTATCATAAAATTTTAACATAACGATTTAAAAAATCAAAATGATTTTTTATAGCATATTACTTATATATGTTCTCTGATCTATAACTATGTGTTAAAAAAAAAGGACTTTGAATTTGTCTTAGATTTCTTAAAAAATAAGATAGTTATTTAGGAACTTAGAGCCTGTTTGGCTCAGCTTAAAAGATGGTCAAACTGACTTAAAAGCTAGTTTTTGACTTATTTAACTGTTTGACAATACTCAAAATAACTTACTTTAAGTTAAAAACTTATTTTAAGTCAAAAGTTAAAAGCTGGGATAGGGGTGCTTTTTTTTTTTTTAAGTTTATAAGATGTTTTAAGTTGACCATATTTTTATCTTTTTGCCCTTAATATTTTTATACAATCTCCAAATTACCCATATAACCCTAACATCTCTTTCTTCCATTTTTCCCTTTTCACGTTTGACATAATAACTTCAGCACTTTTATCCAAACGCATAACTGCTTATTTTAAAAATTCAGCACTTTTAAAAGTACTTTTTTAAAGCTGCTTTTATTAAGCCCATTCAAACGGGCCCTTAGTTGATTATTTTTATATATTTATATTGTTTTATTGTAAGATTTTTCTTAGTATAAGAATTGAGTCTTTGGAATGTGGAAATAAAATGGGAAAGTTACTTGTAGGGGATGGACATTCGGTTCTTCGATTCGGTTTAATCAAATTTTGGTTCGATTCTTCAAAATTCAATTTAGAAAAGTGTGTATTATATTTATACCAAACTAATTCGGTTCGGTTCGACTTAGTTCGATGTTTTTAAATTATTTTTCGATGTGAATAAAAATAAAGAGGAAATACGATAAAGTGTTAAGAGTTTCATGTATTTAATAAAAATAAAGAGTGCATAGATGATTTTTTCGGTTCGGTTTTACCATAGTTTATGCCATGATCTTTTAGCAAAGATGCTAAAGGCTTTCTCCCATAGGGGAATGCTGAATGAATAAAGAAGAGAGCAAGCAACCTAGCAAGCACGATGCCGCAATGAACTTTTGAACAATCAAAATATAAGAACTCACAGTGTACAATTGTACATAAACGACAATAGTTCAACACTTTATTGATATTATATTTGTTGTCATTTAAAAAATAAAAATTTAAATGGGTCATATAAATATTTTGACTCAAAATTCAAAAATGTATAACTATTATTGATTAAGCGATATAATTTAAATATATTAAATTTTAGTAAATAAAACTTCGATTCTTCGGTACACCATAGTTTCGAGACCTTGCACCGAACTCCAAATCAAAGTTCAAAAAAAGAAAATCGGCATTGAACCGAAACACCAAAGAATCAAATCAAAAAATCAAAATTTATTGATTCGGTTTGATTTTTCGATACTTCAATATTTTTGGCCACCCCTACTTATGTTTTTTAATACTCTATAGAGGAACACAAACACATATTTATAGGTTTTGATTGAATTTGAGTATGTAATTTAAATTTTTAAGTAAAATATTATCAAATGAATAAATTAGAGTTCACATAAGAAAAAGATGCATTTTAAAGTGATGCATTAATAAATTGCATATCCACATATTCTTTTGTGAATAAATAATGATTGTGACTAATACTTTGTTTAATAATTGTTATTCATTATTTTATATTATATTAAATTGTATTGTATGATAAATATAATTTTTAACTAGATTATATTGTTTGTTATTATTTAATAACATTTTAATTGTTTGGTTTGATTATATCATACTGTATTATAATTTATAAATTTACCTAAATATCCTTAATTATTCTAGGGTAAGAGGTTTGACTAGATTCAAATAAAATTAAGGTAAAGGGTAAAGTAGTATTTTTAAATATTATGTAAAGATATAATTGGAAAAATAATTAAATAACAAGGGGAACATACCAAATTGGTTGTTCTATAAAATAGGAATTTCCATTGTTTCGTAACAACAAAATTTAACAATAGTACAATATATTTTAAGTAACAATCAAAACAAACATTATAAGTATAATAACAATACAATACAATGATCCAAACATAACGTAAATGTTCTTTATAACTATTAACTAGCTATCGATATAATTCTCCTACGAGATATGTACGAACTATCTCTTCACTAAATGATGAGTAGTTGTTTTTAAAATCGAAAACTTGTAAATTTAAATTTTTAAATCTGTCTCTACTTTTTTTATTGACCTCCAACGTAACATGCTTACCTTATATAATGCTAAGAATTAAGATCATCAATCATGATTATGAATGAATTTAATTAGCCGTCTATGAAAATTATTAAGGATTATTCAACTAATTAATTACTTGTTTTTATTAGACATCATAATCCATATGATAATCTTTGTTAAGTTAAACTACTAATCAAATAATTCCTACAGGTGGACCTAACCCCACTGGATCTTAATTAATCATAAAAATTTAACTCAATAAAGATTTTTTTTCTCCAAAAAAATATATTGTTGCTGTAAATTATTTATTGATAATATTATAATAGAATAAATTAGAGGGTAGGTAGTTAATTCTAAACAGGGAATAAACTCGCATTGAATTTTGAAAAAAAATTTTATTTATGTTACCCGTTAAATGTTTGGTAAATCAATATATTTTCATTTGAAAAGGCTTTATTCACATCATTGTTTGTTAACGGAAAATAATTTTAAATTTATTAAACTATTTTTTACACATGATCAAGTATAATTCTACCACTTCATTAATCAAATTATCTTTAATCTCAAATTCAATCGAACTTTGAGAAAATCCTATGTTTCGGTTGCTGAACCATTCTGGAACCTCTTTCTCTTCGTATATGTATTTTATGTCGTAATCAATATATCTATAATTATCCAGGTAAGTATATATTGATTTATTATATTAAACCAACTCGATATAAAATACATTTGAATACTCAAATGATAGTTGATATATATGATAGTTGATATATGAAACTACCCAGAAAAATCATTTTAATTTGTAAGTGGATCGGGTCATTCCCTCTTTTTCTTGTCTATAGGCGCCAATCCAACTAAATAAATTTTTCGAAAATTTTCCTCTACTTCCCCCTAAAATTTGCTTCTTAAAATCCCTAAATCGCTTCAATACATTAGCAGATATTGCCACAAATTCTCTTGTTTGCATGATGATTTCTGCAAAAGCTCCCCAGAATCAGAAACTACGATAACGAAGTAAGTTTTTATAGTTCATATTTGTGATTGTAAATCGAATTTATGTTGTTTATTTTCTGTGAATTGAATGCGAAGGAGTTGTTAGGGTTTGCCGATTGTAAATTCGTGTTTCGATTATAGAATTAGCGAGAGCAATAACTAGTGGAATCACCTGGTAAAAAAAAGTCTAATTTGTTCGCAGCATAGAAAAAGTCGAAATAAAATCTCAAAGCTCCTCATTTTTGTTTTTTTTTTGGAGATGCGAACTGATAATTGAAATTACAGCATTTTGGATCAAGTCTCGTTTTTTCATACTCTGTAATAGTGACAATTTTTTTTTTTTGCTCTATGATGTATATGAAAGGACCATTTTTTTTTGCTTCCGATAACCATGGTGTCTGAGCTAGTTTGTGTACACCTCGACTAATTATTTGAGCCCTTTGCATTTTGGACCATTATATTGAGTAGAAAACAGTAAGAGGCTTAACTTCTACCGTTAGAGATTTTTGACCATTTGAGTAGTAGGATACAGTAAGATACTTTCCTTTTTACTGCTTTTCGTTTCGTGAAGTATATTGTTAAAGGCTCATCTTATCTATTATTTGGTTCATACTCAGGTAGGAGAAAGATCACGGAGACCAAGGAAGAGGTTACCATTTGAGGAATCACGAGGGAGATGAAGTAGCGTTCCGTGTTGCAAACATTGTTGCCTTTTGTTCTTTGCCAACTACTGATTCTGATTTACTGGTAAAGTTTTTATATCATATGTTTTAGTTACCCTTGTGATATGTTAGTTTTATACTATTACTCCATATTAAGGGCAAGATATAATTCTGAAAGTAGTCTACATATGACATATTATCTACATAAAGAAACCAAAATCACATTTTAATTAATTGAAGCTTATACGTATTTATTCACATACAACAATAATAACAGACCCACTGTAAAATCACATTCTAATAGAGAGATTGTTTCCAATAGACCCTCAGTTGTCTATAATATTTACCAATTACCATTGCCGTTTGTCTAACTTTAACCAAGGTAATCTACAAGAACCACGGTTTTGGATATTTGGCCTTATGGGAAGAAGTTCAAATTTAAAAGATTTTGAACTTTGACCTTGAAGGTTTTCAGCAAGACTATTCATTTTCAAGGCATCAAACCCAACAGTTCCAACTTCCTTCATCCAAGCCTAACCTGTTTTGTTGGTTGACTACCACTTTGCAAAATAGATCTCGCCAATCAGCTGTATTCTGTCGACTATGGTCATATGCTTCCTGCAAAAGCTGACGAAAGCTGGCGTGATTTACATGGAAAGGTGTGCCGATGATGTTGTGAAATAAAGATGTGCCATCACTAGCTTGCGAAAGACGAAGGCCGTCAAATATGACTTTCTGAATGTGCTGATCACCAGTGCCATTATTAAGACTATATGACAGTACATGTCCTATTTCAGCAAAGGATGATTGTCTCCACAGATCGACCTCCTTTCCTCAAAATTACTCCGAAACTGGAGTTTTGGCAGTGCTCTTCCTGCTGTTGCATAGACTGGATGGACACCACACTTTGTCACACTTAACCCTGTGAATCCTTGCTCTCTGATACTGAACGAAAATGTAATTTGTTCTCCACCTTCTAAAGCAGGACAAAAGTAATCTTGTGGTATGAAGCTCACCCAAGAACAGTTGTCAGCGGTTACAGTAATTTCGGGGAAGCCAAGGACCCATGTAACCTTATTGGTCTGATCACCGACCTCTATGATAGGACCATATTGAAATACTCCATTGTATTTGCACTTGTAGATAGACCAAAGGATCATTCCCTGGAAGTTATGTTCTATGTTTGGTGGCATTGTTAAGGTTATATTAGATCCTATGTTTAAGTTGCTGAACCATTCTGGAACCTCGCTACCTGCAATATAGTAGCTGCTTGGATAAGGAAGATCTTTATCACATTCTCCCGTCTGCAACAGAAAATGGTGTGAGTTGCAGTTAATTGTAATAGTACAAAGATGACATGAATAGAAGAACTAACTAACTAACCAGCTGGAAGAAACTTTCATCAAAGAAACGTCTTGCCATCTTGCGACTGTGTTCCATGCAAACATATTCAACATTTTCCATAGTTTCCATGCCCTTAATCTCGGACAATCTGTCGCAATTAGATACATGGAGCTGTGGCATTATCCTGTAATTGGACATGTCTAGACTTTCAATGGATGAACAATCATTTGCATGGAGCTCTAGCAGATTACAAGGAAGCAGTGAGAGCATTTGAAGATTCTTGCAATCATCCAGGACAAGACACTGTAGCTCATATAGGTCGCAAAACAGGGATGATGGGAGAGTGTAAAAATCATTTCCTCCTAAATCCAGGTATTCCAATGAGGTTAAACTCCCAAGATTGGTGGGAATATCTGCTTCTGAAAGCCTACAATCTTTGAGATTGAGCTCCGTCAAGTGACTTAAACGGGAAAGGGAATGTGGCAACAACCACTCTGGACGCGATGAACTACTTCCTGCCCATGGGAAATGAGATAAAATACAAGTCCGCCAAGATTGAGCCTTTAAACTTCTGTTGCATCCTTCTAATGATAAGCTTCTTAGGTTTGTCAAGTTTCCAAAATCAGCAGGCAGTTGTTGTAGACCCGAGCAACCTGACATATCTAGATGTTGAAGTGATTCTAGCTTGCAAATGCTGTTTGGTAGATTCTTGAGGCTTACACAGTCTTCCAAATTTAAGTAAACAAGTTTCACCAAATATTTTATTGATGAATCAATCTCACCTAACTCGGAGCAACCTGTAAACAATATTGTCTCAAGACTTATCGCCCTTGAAAAATCAGGAGTTCGCTTTAGTCGTTGACAATGACTGAGATTTAGATATGCCAGGTTTTCCAGGGGCTGATTCATAGAAACAAAATAATATATTCATTAGTATCTATACTTAGTTCTCTTAATCTAAAATCTTATTATATCTAAACATTGAAAAACTTAGAATAGCAATAAACCTTGATGGTGGATTGCCAAACTTCCATGATATTTGCTATATTGCATGTCCAGAGCCACAAGTTTGGTTGGATGAATATCAGTAGGTAAACATTTCAAAGGGAAATTTTGCCAATATAGCCATCTTAGTTCTTCAAACAAATTTTTGAAGCTTCCAGTAAGATTCATTCCTTTTGCTTGAAATATTTTCAACCTATCCATTCTTGCAAAGGACTTTGTGCCAACAGTTAGATCTTTCACTCTGGGATGGATCGCGCTGATGCCTTCTATCTGGTCGCTACCCTGTCATCATCAAGATATGTTGTTAGTCTTGTGTTTATAATTGCTTTATTTTTCTTTTCAAAGAGCTTAAAACATCATGTAATTTTATGCACTCTTTCTGTGTTTGGAAACGATTCAACTTTTTACACTTATTGGAATAGTTTCATAGTCACATATAAATGTTATGAAATGGTTGAGTTCTTTTTTACCTTGTTCTTTTCTAGCACATAACGGACATCTTCATGAAACCACAACCTAGAGCGCATATGAGGCTCTTTAACCGACTCTTGACGAACAATTTCTCTAGCCATATCTCGAACTAAATCATGCATCCACAATTGATTCTGTTCAATTTTCATTAAACATCTTCCAATCAAAATTCCTTTCCCCAAGTTGAAAGAGTGACCACAAGCAGTCAATACAAGACTAGCAAAACATTGTTGGGCTTCAATGAAAAAGCACGCGATGTCAAGGAAAATCTCCTTAGAGTTGTCATCAAGTGAGTCATAGCTTACTTTGAGTGCTTTGTGAATACTAGTGTGATGAGCAAGATTTTTCAAGCTCTCGAGGGTACTTCTCCATGTTTGATCATCCTTTTTATGCAAAAGAGAGCCCAATACTTCGAGTGCTAAAGGAACCCCTCCACCTAGACTTGCTATGTTATTCACCAACTCATGATCCAAATTTTCGGGTACAGTAGTATTCTTGAAAGCATGAAAACAAAAAAAGAGTCGCTTGGAAGAGAAATCATCCAACCTTGTTACCTCGTACTTATAGTCTACTCCTACATCATCTAGCAAACTCTCACTTCTTGTTGTTATAATTATTGTGCTCCCCGAACCAAACCAGCTTCTCTCTTCCGCCAATGCTTTTATCTGGCTCATGTCATCGACATCATCCAGAACAATAAGGACCTTCCTCTGACCAAGTCTGTCTTGGATTAGGCATTTTCCCTTATCAACATTGTATTGGACTTTAAACTTGTCTCTTTTTAGAACATCAGATAGAAGCTGTTTCTGTAAGTTGTGAAGCATGTTATTTTCCGAGCGCTCTCTTACGTGAGCCACAAAGGAGAAACCTTCATACCTCCTGTGGATTTGATTGTAGACGGCTTTGGCAACAGTTGTTTTACCAATGCCACCCATCCCATAGATCCCAAACATGCAGACACCAGCTGATGAGTAGAATTCACATAGAGAAATCACTCCTGCAGCATGAGAATTAGGCCCAATTACCAGTCCTGGAAGGTGCATGCATGTTGGCTTTACTAACTCTAACACCTCTTCCACAAGTTTCTTGTTGAATTTTGCTTCATGCCTGGAAAATCAAACTCAAACACAAATTAGTCTAAAGTTTAACCAAGATGAGACAAAGGTATTATTTACCTTATATAGACTAGATTCCAGGTCAATTATCTATATAATAAAAATAACAAAGTAAGCATGTCAAAATGCTAATTATTTAACAAACAACTTTTATACCCTTTGTAAACTAATTTTTCTTTTCCATGAAAGAAGCAAAATAAGTGTTGTGCGTAGAGCCGTCAATATGGGCTAGGCCCGTTGAGCAGGCCTGGCCTAACCCTGGATTTAATAGGGTTGGACTAAGATTTTTGGAGCTCATTTAAGAAAAAGGCTTTTTAGCCTGACTTGAATAAGCCTGTTGATTTGATGGGTTTGAGAAATATAGGTAAGGCCGGTTCGTGGGCCAATAATAATTAATTAAAAAATATATTATAATATTAAAATTTAAAATTAAAGAGAGTCCAAATTCAAAATAATTAGGTTAATATTTTTATTTATATATTTATACTTTTACTTGAAAAAAAAACTTAATAAATAGAGATAATTTCAGAGACCTCTCTCCAGGCTTCGCTCTATAACACTCACATTTCCTGTGGTTTACGATATTACGTCTACCTCCCTTATTTTCATTTTCTTGTAATCATTCTTTGAACCTATTTAAATAAATATAAATTAATTTAGATTTGATAAATTTACCGTAAACTTTGTGTCAAATGAAACTACTTACTCGACAGATGGAGTAATGTTTATAATATCAGTCAATAATAACTACAACTTTAATTCAACAAAGCTAGATAAATTTGGTGAAATATAATTTGTTGTAGACTTAATTTGACGTTCTAATCACCAACTTAACTTTTACAACTCCTCTCGTCTCTACTTACTTTCCTTTTCAATCGATCAATTATTCAATACCATAAAGAATGACATATTTCTATACTAAGTAACAATCTAACTTAAAAATATTCATTTATCCTTATACTCACACAAATATATACATATTACTTATCTTAGACCACAAGTTTCATAAACTCAATGCAAGTCAAATTAACCTATTTTATTATTTTTCGTCTTAATTAAAAAAATAAAAAAGAAGAAGACTTACTTGAAATTAAGTAAATGATAGCCTGATATTTTCCCAGCCTCCACAAATGCAGCCCTCCATCTCTGAACCTTCTCCATATCATCTTTCATGTATTGTAAAAATGAATCAGCAAAAGGGGGATTTTGATGGCGCACATCTGATGGAGTTACATCATAGAAAACTGGAATCACTATTAGCTCCAATTCGTTTCTACACTTTATGATGTGTGCAAGCTCCTCTAAGCACCATCTCGACGATGCATAGCTTTTCGAAAATATCACTATAGCAATTTTAGACTCTTCTATGGCTTTTAAAAGTTCATCAAAAATTGGTTTCCCCCTTTCTAATCGCTCATCATCTTTAAAAATGCGGATTCCACTTTGTTCCAGGGCTTTATATAGATGACTCACAAATGTTCTACGTGTATCTTCTCCTCTAAAACTCAAAAACACATCGTACTTGCAAATTTTCGAAGAAAAAGCATGAGACATTGTTATATTATATTGCTAAAGACTAACTCTCTGCTTTAGGTATATGATGAGAAAATATATTCAATTTTTTCTGCTACTTGATAATGAGAAATATTTGAAGCCTAACTGACAAAACTATCAATCATTTTCCTATCTGTCATCAAATTGAACCCTACTTTTTTCATTAATGTGAGAAATTAATGAGTGAAAAAAGGGGAGTGGACTGAACTTGGTAATAAAGAAAGGTCACATTCTAACTTTTAGAATTTATATCAAAAAGTTATTAAATTTTATTTTGTATTAATAAAATCACTCTACACTTAGGCTATAATAAAATCACTTAACCAAATTCATCATTAGAAAAATTAACACATGGCAATCTGTGACTCCATGTTATTAAGGCGTATGAAAGATGCTTAGATGTCAAGTAAGCCAAAAAAAAAAGTGTACAAAATTACTAAAAAAATGAGTTTGAGGGTAATAACACCTTAGTTTAGTTAAAGTGTGTATCTGAGATTTTGATCATAGTCTAGAATACTATTGTCTTATCCCCTAGAGGGTAAAGGACAAAAATCACATACTTTTAAAATTATAATTTATCTCTTATAAGTTTATAATTACAAAAACCCCTCAAACTGATACAATAATATAAGCGCCGATATATTAATATGATGTGCGAGATACATTAATCGTTAAGTAAGATATATGACATTTATATACAATACACTAATCTAATGTACATTTTACACATGATGCACTAATCTGATGCGCAAGATATATTAATTTGATGCGATGATACATTAATCTTATGAGTAAAGATGAGAAACTTTGAGAATTTGTAAAACCTATAGAGAATAATGGTAATAAGAGAATTTTAAGGTGGGTATTCTGTCATTTTTCCAAAATAAATTTATAAATTTCATTTGATAAATTATTATTGCTTCATTACTACATTTGATGGATGATAATTTAATTAATGTTATAAATCTATTGAATGAGTTGGACAGTCCATAAAGTTAGTACATGAACAATCATTTATATTCATTAGGTTTCATGAACCTTTTTGGATAAGAATGTATCTATTTATTATCATACTCAATATGATGACTTTTGGAGTGATTTCTCACTCTATAAATAGGGTTGTTCATTCACTGTTGTATGATATACAGATGAGACTTATATATACTTGAATAAAAAGAAACTTCGTCTTCTTCTGTCTACTTCTCTTGTCTTCTTCTCTTTACGATTCTTATGAGCTTGATTTTATAACAATTAATTTTTTATCTGTGTGAATCTTTCAAATATTCCTGCGGTTGAGAAAATGACTTGATCAATGGTGACTCCTATGAATTGTTGTTTTCGAGAAAATGACTCGACCAATGGTGACCCGCATGAATTGTTGTTTTCTTATATCCACGAACCAGTAGGGTTATATGAGAAGAATTATTAGGTATATTTGCGAGCTTATAATTCTCAAGTTTTAACTGCTTTATTGATTATTATCGTAAGAAATTAAAGTCATTATATTTTTACTATTTTAAAAAAAGACTATTATTGTAATATGGTCCAAATTAACCCTATAAGAATCAGTGTCGTGAAAGGCGCTTGCCATAGCGCCTTTGGCAAATGGTGAGGTGAGGTTGTGTCGCCATTACCCACTGAGGCGAGGCGACCTTTACGTCGCCATATTGTTTTTTTTTGTAAAAAAGTTTTAACTTAATAATATTAGTTTTTTTTTTCTATTTTCAAACTTTCATAAGACTTTCGTGTATTCCTCTTCTTCTCTTCCTTGAGTCGTTGCTGCTTCTTCTCTTCCTCAGTTGCTGTTCTCTTCTTCGTCTCTTTCCCTCGAGTTGGTGCTCCATTCGTCTCTTTCTCTTTCACTCTTAATTGTCCCTGCCTTCACTATTCTTTTTTTCCTCTGTTTTCTTTACTCTCTGTTTTGTCCCGGAATACTGTAAAATATTTTTTGCTTTCATTGTGTTGTGACTGCTGTCCATTATTTTTTTGAAAAAAAATTAATTCTTCTATAGTAATTATTATAGTATTTGTAATATATGTAATTGCTATTGAAATTTTGAATATTATGTGTGCAATTAAATATTTTTAATTTTTTATATTAATTCAAAAAGGCGAGCGTCTCGCTACTCCACTCGCTGCGTTGCGAGGCAGGCCGTTGTCGCCTTTTATCGGCTCTCGCCGTCCAAAACATTGATAAGAATAGATGCATTACGAGGACTTTCAATAATGGAATTACAGCTCATGGTCTGGATATTCCTTTAATCAATGAATGGCTTGGCATTTTTTTTGTTTTTGTGAGTGGTGGTAGGAAGTATTTATTTGAAGTGACAATAAATTTTGAGAAAAACTAAGATATAAAATTTATGTATTTTTTGTGTAAATAATATATAGCTTAGTTGATTTGATAGGACAATTGTAAAGATTCTATCTAGATGTTGGTTTTGATAATACATTCTACGGTTGTAAATCAAGAAAATGACCAAAGTGATCTTTAATGTATGAATAATAATTTATTTTGATTTTTAATACATTTTACTTGAAATAATTCTTAATATATAATGGATGTGTTCATTTTGGTCCTTACATATTTTACTTGGTTGAAATCGTCCTTAATATATATAAAAAAAAGGTTTAAGTCATGTCATATACAATCCTTTAAAATTGTCCGCATAATTTATTTAGATATCTTAACTAGGACATGTACCTATTGAACACTTATATTATTCAAAACATATACTTATTAAACACAAAATATTTATGTGGCAAAATAAGTGTATCCTGCGGGACGCTTTTACCTGTCATCTTCTTCACTCCATCTTAAAAACCTCTTGAACTGCATTGTGATTCTACTTTTTTTTTTTTCATTTTTTGTTAAAACGAAAAACTCTATTTGCTATACTTAGTATTTTAGTAAATATTGATTGTGTTTTCTCCAAACTTTTCAATGTATTTTAGTAAATATTGTTTGTGTTTTCTCCAAACTTTTCAATGTCATCTTATTTAAAATTTTATCGATCAATTTCTTTGCCATCATCCCAATCACACCCCTTTCCAATACACTCTTTAATTATTATTTTTACGCATTTCAACATCACCAATATTATCAAAAACTAAAATCAAATGCGTTTAAAATAGTTTCAGTGGAACTCTATTTTTTCCGACGAGATTAATACGAATCTGGAATTATTTTCTTTCAAATTGTTAGGAAAATCAAATCCTAAAAAACTCACAATATAGAAGGAAAAAAATTATATGAGAATCTATATTGATAGTTGAAACAAAAGGAGACTGAGAGAAACAACTAATACAATATTTGTTGATATTGAAATAAACGAGAAGAACAAGTGTATGAGTGGAAAATCCATTGAGAGAATCAAAGATAGAACGAAGATAATTGTTGTTTATTTCAATCACAGCTGCTCTGTCGTGTTTCGATAAAGGGCGCGGGTGGATGGGTGGGTTGGTGGGGTGTTCTTGCCAAGTAGAAATAGGGAAGAAGATTTTTTTAAAATTATTTTTCTTTTAAATATTTTTTACTTATATTATGGATGTAATGTCACGTGTCTTCTTTTTATTTGTTACTATGTCACATCATTAGCAAGGGTACAACACACACACTCTATTTTTAGTTGATTGTCACAAAATGTTCACTAGGTATATTTTTTGACTAATGATGGTGTTCAATTGAAACAGACCTAAGATAAAGTGTCTAAATGAATTATACGGACAACTTTAAAAAATCTTATATGACTTAAGCCTAAAAAAATGATCATTTTGGTCGTTTACTCTAAACATGACAAATTTTATTTTTAAAAAATATTAAATTTAACTATGGACTCCTAAGTGGCTAACAAAAACCTACATTTTTGTCTTCCTTTTAGCTCCAAAGAAAAATTTAGTGAAATCTAACATCATTGTCTCTAATTTCTCTAACAAAAATTTGATATTTTCTTATGCTTAAAATAAAAATGGATATTAGGGTAAGTAAAATAATATTTTAGGAAACAGAAAATATAATAAATTTTGTTGAAGAAAGAGAGAAAATAATGTTTAATATTTGTTGATTATTTATTTTTTTTGAGCTAACACAGAAGATAACAATGGCGAAAAGAAATATATGATATTTATGAGATGAAGAGGCGTGAAAATCAGGTCTTTCATAGACTTACCTAAGTAACTTAATATCTTAATTTTAGTCAGATTTTATTATTCTAATTTATATTACACGTTCTCGTTAGAAATATCATGGATGAAAGATGTGTAAGTTGGTAAAATAGAAAAAATGAATCTCGGATTATTTCATCAATATCATGAGTTTCTTTGTATAAATGTTTCATAGACTTCTCGATGTATAGGATCTTTACGTGTCCTAGTCATAACCTTTCGTAGTTGTTGCACCTATATATGGATGCGCATCGATCAATTCGAGTCGATTTTAAAGATGATCCATTTGATTTATCAATTATTAATTTGTAAACTATATACTTCATGTTATCGAGTAAATTGTTAATATACCTCAACTAATAAATTGAATTGAATTTCATATATGATTTCCAAGTCATATTTTCAGTCAAAAAGGGGAGAAAAAGAAAGAAAAAGTATTAATAATATTAATAAGACAAAGCTGAAAATAAAATATAGGAGAAATGTAGATCATGATGGAGAATAGACTTGCACCTTCAATGGCCTATATTTATTTAAGTACTATATAATATGATATTTAATTAATTACTTAAATGTATATAATTTTGCAAAAAGTGAGATTCTTAGTTCCTTTGTTTAAAGGATAAACATAAGTGGAGTCCTTTTATGTAGCTAATAATAAGTTTTTCCTTGATTAATCAAATAAAATAACGATATATGCTTTTACTTTCTTTTTTTTTTAAAAAAAAGCAATTCAATTTGTTTGGGAATTTTATTTAAGAACAAGTATAACTAAAGATTTGTGAAAGAAGCGCTTGAAAAGTTATTTCTTTATAATACTTGAATTTAAGTAAAGTTATGAAATTGATTGACAATCGTCGAATAGCAGAAATTTAATTTTATCTTTCAATAATTTTCAATAAAAAATAAATTATTCATGAGGATTTTATAATATTATTAGCAAAAAAAAATTTACACGTTCCTAAAGAAAATGACATTAACAAAATTGAAACACAACTCCTAGTTCAATCTATTCTCATTAAGTTTTTTTTTTTGATATTACCTTTGTTACTATCTCAAATTATATTTCAAGTTTCTTTTATATACGTTTTTAATAAGAGATATTTTTTTTTTATAATATATCGTACTTTCATTTGATTACTTAAATATATAATCTATCTTTATGAAATATTTTATATGATTGAGATGTTTGTACTCTTTAAAAATAATTTTTACTATGGATAATAGAAAAAGTATTTAATTTTATTTTCAACTTCAAAAATAATAACAAATAATTTGAGAAGCATAAATAATTGAAGTTTTTTTTTTTTTAATTAAAGACTTGTTTAAGATGATTTGTATGGTTGTCATTAAGATAATTTGATATATAAAATATTTTAAATTAAATTAGTAATAATGTTTGAAGAATCTCACTTTTGTAGATAATCTATTTTAATATAAATATTCCAAGGCTCTATTTAGCAGAATAACTCCAAAAATTATAGGTACAAAGAAAGGAATACTTTTTAGATAAGGAAATAAAAATGATGGGATTTATTAGCAATTTAATTATATTTGAACATGTCTAAAATGAGTATATAAAGGCATCATCCCATAGTATATAAAATTATTAAATTTGAACTATGTCTATATATTAATTTAGAATTAATGGGGTAAGCTTTGTATCAATTTCTCTTACCAAACTTTTGAAGTGCAAGCTTTTATGTATGATTTAACGTGGGAGTGATTAAATACTATGCTTTAATATTTTACAAAATATTAAATAATATTTTATATTTTAAAATAAAAAAAACTTTATACAAAAAATCTCCAATAAATAAATAAAAAATTCAGCCTTTAGAAGCGTACCACATCAGCAATTTTTGATTCAAATTTATATATGTATATAGATTATTAAATTTGAACTATGTCTATATATTGATTTAGAATTAATGGGGTAAATATATTCCTTTTGTAGTATTGTTATACTTTTTATAAATTTTGTGATTGTTATTGTTGGTGAAAATCCTAATTCCAACAAGAAAAAAGTTAACTTTATGGGTAATTTATTTAAAGTTAATAATGAAAAAAGTAAGTTATTTTATGAGGTAATTATTTATAGTTGATAATTTTTTTTGGGTGGGTGAGGTATTTAATTTTTTATAAGGTGTCAAGGTATGTATCTTTTCGGTTATTATGCTATACATAAGAACGATGTACTCGAACGAGAGAAAAAATTATATATCAATTCAAAATTTAATATCAAGTGAATTCAGTCGTATATGACATAAATTTCATAATGAAAAAGTGTTTGAAGTTTAATTATATGAACTTCAAGTACAATTTATTGAAGTTCATTTATATATGTCTTTAACTTCATGAAAATATAGTTGATGTTTAATTATATAATGCATATATGAATGAAGTTCAGTACTTAATTTTAGTCAAGATCAACTTATTCCTTTATTAATACATGGGTTAATTTTGAGAATCAAATATATTTTGGAATGCAAGTTATGAAATGGCCTAAAGACCAAATAAGAAATATTATTCTATCACTTTTTTCTTTTTATAATTGTTGGTGCTATTTATGGGATGATGGTGGTGAATATATATCTTTGTCCATTATAAAAAAAACTTTATATTATTAAGCACAAGTGCTACTTTTAGAGCACAAACTCAATATGTAAGCCAAGTATTTTATTCCCAAAAAATATTTAAAGAAAAAAAATAATTGCTTTCCTCTTTTGTTGGATAAACAGCAACATTTTTTTTATAAGAGTTTCAAATATTAATTTGTGTTTGTCAATATATAATATATGATCTCATCATTGAGTAATTTATCTCTCTCTATATATATCTTGATTTAATTGTAATCTCTAATTGACCTAATTAATGGATTTATAAGTGAAAATAGGCACATAAATGCCCTTATAATTTGTGGAGAGGTGGAACTATATGATTAATAGTTTAGTTGAGAATTACGATCTCTCAAATTCAATAGTCAAGAAAAGTAAAAATACAAATAATTTATATATATATATATATATATATATATTTATTTATTTATTTATTCAGTTTCATTGTATAGAGCTATTCGATATCAATATTTTTAAAATGCTTTTGAGATGAGTCTCAGAGCTAGACGTCTAAAAAATATTCCAAAACACAAATAAAAAACTTAGCTCAATGCATAGCACAAATGAAAGACTTAAATTCATAGAATTTAGGCTTAAGCATCGAGTGAAAAATACAGGCATGAATGACAAAGCATTTGGCTCAAATGTTATATTTAATTTTTGCTATTTTAAAAGTTTTTTTTTTCTCCATATATATATATATATATATATATATATATATATATATATATATATATATTCTTTATTATGTAAATTTACATTTATACTTTATATCACCATGTCTTTATATTGTTGCGATTTTACTAAATTATATAAATAAATAAAGCAATTTCTGTTAAAAAATGACACACTGATGTAATAATTTGCTTAGATAATTGTCTGAAATTGATAAAATAGAAATTTCGTAAACTATATTCATGATACAACTCTATTTTTATTATTTCTTTTTCATATTTTATCCAACATGACTTATGCCTCATCCCATAAAGCATTCTAATAAAAAGAATAATATTACATAAAATTAGTTAAAATACACTAAAATTTAAGTAGATATTATATATTTATAAAAAAATTGTGAAATTGGAGAAGATAAGTGCGTATATTTAAGCACAAGCAACTTGTATAATTACAACATTACCTAATCAAATCATTGCTTTTCCAAATTCAAAAACTAAATAAAAAGATAAAAGACAAAATATATGTAATTAGTTTCATTTTTAGTTAGTGATTTTGAATTTGAATTACTTAAGTATAAAATTATTTTTATTATAAAACACTTTATCCTTTATGATTATACTTTTCAATGTAAATTTAATTTTATTTTAAATTTTATAAAAAGTATTTTTTTAATTAATATTTACATTTTAATATGTAAATATAAAATTTAATTAAACTTTAATAAAAATATCGAACGAGACAGGAAAGATGGGTATGCTGTTGATGGTGGAACTTTACGCAATCGCATAATATCTTCTTACCCATTTCCCATTATCCCCCCACACCCCACCCCACCCCACCACCCTACTCTCCAACCCCATTATCTTCATCATCATCATCAAGATTCCTCTTTCCACTTTCTCCATAATCATCTCTTCAATTTTTTTACAATATATATCTTGTTTAATCTCATTGTTATCTTTTCTTCTGTGCTGTTTATTCGAAACCCCATTTCGTTTTTTCTTCACTTTTCTACTGTTTCACGTCATAATTTGAGAAAAGGGGCGAAAGGGTGTTGAAATTTTGTTTATTTTCATGAATGGTTTGATTCAAAGTTTGGGAGTTTTCGATTTTTGATTTGGGTTTTTTTGGTTTTAGGTGAAAAGTTTGATTTTTTTTGGTTAAAAATGGGTAATATGGGAAGTAGTGGTGTGAACGGCCGGCGACGGAGTAGTAGCCGGAGGAGCCACCCACCGCCGTCTCCACAACCACAACCACCGCAGCCGGAGATAAACGCGAACAGGTATGTGTTTGCGGCGGCGACGCCTTATCCTACTCAATACCCAAACCCTAATGCTCCGCCGTATTATCAATACCCGGGTTACTATCCTCCACCGCCGGCGGCGATGCCGGTGCCGTTACCAGCTTCGTATGATCATCACCATAGGATGGACCCTGGTCATGCTAATTGGGTTAACGGGCGGTACCCGTGTGGACCGATGATGCCTCCACCAGCTCCATATGTGGAGCATCAAAAAGCTGTAACAATAAGGAATGATGTTAACTTGAAGAAGGAGACTCTAAGGATTGAGCCTGATGAAGCTAATCCTGGCAAGTATCTTGTGGCCTTCACTTTTGATGCCACAGTTCCTGGGAGGTAAAAAAAGTGTCTTTTTTTCATTTTACCTGTTTGTTTATTGGTGAAGTTTGTGCAAATTGATGTTAGTATATGGTATTCGCTTGAGTCTTGACTGTTTCAGTTGGAGTGTATTCAAATATGTGCAGTAGTGTTAGTACTTGTTCATTAGCCGAGGTCTATCGGAATTAACCTCTTTATCTACTAGGTATGGTATGGTCTGTGTACCGCAGACTCGCCTTGTGAGATTAAAGTGAGTATGTTGTTGTTTAGTAGTACTTGGCTCATAAAGTTGAAATAAACAAGAGTTTCAACTTTGTACTTTTCCATCTGAATACTTTAATTTGATTGTTTTTTATGGGGTCAGAGTTAAAAACTTCAACTTGACTTTGGTACTGTGTTAGTATTGTGGAATATAAGTTAAACAATGGCTTAATTGGTACCTTTCCCTTGAATTCTTTAGTTTGATGGTTTCTTACAGGGTCAGAGTTAAAAACTTCAACTTGACTTTGGTACTATGTTAGTATTTTGGAAAAAGGTTTGGTTAAATAATGGTTTTGGAAATTATCACCTTTCCAGTAAAGTCCTTAGTTTGATTGTTTCTTGCAGGGACTATAACTTGACTTTAGTATTATGGAAAAATAGTTAAATAATGGAATTGAAAGTCAATTTGATATATCAGACATGATATTATAGTTTATTTTTGAATATGTAAGTGTATTTAAGTTCTTGAAGTATGTGTAGTTGTATTGTATGATAAAATTTTCAATAGAGTGGCGTCCAACATCTTGGAATGTTCCAGCTGGGGTGAGTATGTGTTTAAAATCGGGATGGAGGCAGAGGTACTAGATTTATTTGATCAAGAAAGTTTTGAACTTTTTAGTCTTTTCATTAATTTTGGAAACACATATAGACACTAGTAGGATTATTGCTATTGGGTTTGCTAGGGATTAATTTGTACTTAAGCTTTCTGTGAGACAATCTTTTGACAACCTCCCGTGTCATAAATGCAGATTGAGAAATTGAGAACTTGATCAGCAAATTTTATTTTATCTTGGACATTAATGTAATTTCATTTTGTTGTTACCAGTCCTGCAATCTCTTTAACAACCTTGGATGAGTAGATAAATGTGTCTATTTTAGAGAAAACAAATGAAGTTTCTGCTGCTAACTTTGAGGATCCTGTATAGCGTGACTTAGCACCAGTGGCAGTGTCATCTTTGTTCAAGCGAAGTCAATTGACACTACTTCGTAAAATTCCAAAACGTAGATAGGTCAATCTTTCTAAATGTATACATTGAATCTCCTTGGCTTCTTCATCTTTTTTTGAATATATATTTTGAATCTCCTTAGCAAAAATCCAGTTATTTTAGTTCTGCCACTGTTTAGCACTACTTTGGGTTATTTGAATAAGCCTTTCGGTCTAAGTAATAATTACTCATCTACAAAAATTGGAAGTGGTCTTTTGTTTAAGCACTGGTGTTGAAATCTCTTGGTATGTACTGAATAGCAACCAATAACTTTGGTCTTCATACAGATTATTGCTTCTTTTTTTTTTTTTTTAATGAAAACGACCTCAAAGAGGCAATTGATATTTGCAGTGGTCTCCTTACAGCTATCCCCTTGTTAGAAAATGATCCATTGAATCTCATGTTGAGATACACATTTAGAAGAAAAAAATATAATATCATCTGAGATTTGGATATGCAAGTAATTTGATAATCAACTAGCTTTTTAGTTTTCTAAAATGATAGTAATATACTAGATCAATTTCTTCTTAGAATGAATACATTATATATTATCTCGCATGCCTAGAAGTTCGACAATGGTGTTTTATACTGAAAACTGAGGTGTTAACTCCCGAAGGTTGAGATCTGATGTACTTGCAGTGATGGTACAATAACAAGGGATCAATGGAGGTGGTAGTGATTTCCAGGGAAAAAATATAATCACGGTGGTTGCTTCTTCTTTGTTGGTCGTATGGAATCTGTGTTCACTTTTCAGTCTTCAGTCATCTGTTGCTGACTCTTAAGAGTAGCATGCACAATGTTGATGACTGTTGGACTTATTAAAGGAATGAGTTTTGTCAACTAGGAGATACTCCCTCCTTTTCAATTTGTTTGTCTGGTTTTGACTTGGTACAAAGGTAAGAAAGTGACGAGACTTTTGAATCTTGTGGTGTTAAACATGTCGTGTGGAGTTGCAAAAAAGGGAACGAGGCATTTTTTTTTGAAACGGACTAAAAAGGAAAGTAAGACAAACAAGTTGAATCGGAGGGAGTAGTAATTACTAAGAACGAGCTCTGATATGCTTTGCAGCTTCTAGGTCACTCACATAAGAATTATCAAGTAGTTGCTTTGTGTGTGGTTTTTATGAAAATTGTAGTGCTTGGCGATATATTGGTGATTCTTCAAGTTAAATTTAGGTGCTTTCAACGGGAGCTAATCCAAGGTATTTCTTGATCTTTTTTCTCTTGCAGCATGACTGTCATTTTCTTTGCAAAAGAAGGTGAAGATTGTTGTTTGACTCCCATGAAGGAAAGCTTGCTTCCACCAGTAACTTTTGAGTTTCAAAAAGGTTTAGCTCAGAAATTTAGGCAACCGTCTGGTACTGGCATTGATTTTTCAATGTTTGAAGAGGCAGAATTGTCCAAAGATAGTGAGGCAGATGTGTATCCACTTGCAGTCAAGGCGGAGGCAACATTAGATAACCCAAGTGAATCAGAGGATGGAAGTGCAGCATCAGGATCCACTAATTCACAGATCACTCAAGCAGTTTTTGAGAAGGACAAAGGTGAGTACCATGTTAGGGCGGTGAAGCAGATCCTGTGGGTCAATGACATGAGGTATGAATTGCAAGAGATTTTTGGGATTGGTAATTCAGTTGAAAGTGACTTCGATGGAAATGATCCCGGAAAAGAATGTGTGATTTGCCTCTCTGAACCTCGGGATACCACTGTACTTCCATGTCGGCACATGGTATGATTCTGCCCTTTGTTAACAATTTATGTCGAGTTTTGGTCTCAATATGTTCCCAAACGTCTGCAATGTCATGATTATACGTAGTACAGAATTTATGCATTCTGCAGTTCAACAGTTTTGCTTATAGAATCTGAAAACAATTCCTTCCGACACTTCAAGTCTTCCTAGGGTGTGTTTGGTATGGAGGAAAAAATGTTTTCCAGTTTTTAAATGTTCAGTTGGTTAAAATTTTGAAAAAAAATTTCTCTAGGAAAACAAGTATTTTTTAAAATGAAGAAAATGACTTCCCTAGAGAAAGAAGGGGAAAGATGTTCCACAGGTGGTGTCCTTGCCACCCTCTAACATACATCATCTTCACCCACACCCCCTGTAGCCTCTATCCCCGCCACCCCACGCCCTTACCTCTACTCCTATCTTCCATTATATTGGTTCAGGTGATATACAAATGCTTTAAGGATAATATTTTCTGCTTATTTTCCTGGGAAACATTTTCCTTCCTACCGACCACACCCTTAAAGTCCACTGTTTTCCCTCTTCTTTGCTGTGTGACCTCTCCTTAGCACACCTCACACTTTCTCTTGCCACTGGCTGAGTGATTTAAGATTTTAGTAAAATTGATATTCTGAAGCAGACTTCGTTTTAAGCTTCATTTTCACTGCAGACATTTATTGATTGAACAAGCCATTTATAAAATACCTGTTTCTGGATTAGGACGTGTCTCTCTCTATTGGGCGGAGATCCGAAAGGAGCTACCACATCTTACCTTGAATTAAAATACTTCTGCTCAACTTCCCATCGAGGAAGCACCAACCCGTTTTTCACCTTGAATTGATCAAACCATGCTGAATTTCTTATGTTTCGCGGAGGGATTAGACCCTGCATTTCTTTTAGTTGACAAAACTCTAATATAATGTACATTACATAACTCAGTGTCTTTCTTCACGCAGTGTATGTGTAGCGGATGTGCAAAGGTTTTGAGGTTCCAGACGAATCGCTGTCCCATCTGTCGACAGCCAGTTGAACGCCTCCTGGAGATCAAGGTCAGCGAAGGCGCAGCTGAAGAGTAAAAATAGGAAGAGTTGCCATAATCCACTCTTGTATAAATATCAGTATTTCTCTTTCTTGACCTTTTGGTTTTCCTTCTCTATCCATCCCCCCTAGAGTAGAATAATCCAACAGCTGAAAGTCTCTTAGTTATAGTTTGCCAGTCCTACAAATGGATCATCGAGACATGCTGTTGAGCTAAGCCCCCTTTTTTACTTTTTTTTTTCCTTTTAAAGAGTGTTTTTGAATTCCATGCATTTTTTTAAAGAAGTTGTTATAACTATACCTAGTAAATATTCTGTTTGCTTTGATAACACTTTTTTTGAGCTTAGGGTCTATTCGTAACTGTTTTTTTTTTTTTTTTACTTTCATAAGGTAGGAACAAGGTTGTGTACACCACTTGTCTCGAGCTCTACTGAGTTTTGGTCTAGTTGGAGGAGCGCAACAAGTGTGTTTTGGTGATTAGATGCACGTTTAGTCTCATGATACTGAATTTATTGAAACTTGGTATTTTCAATATGGAGCATAAATTTATATTAAAAGTCAACTACAATTACATCAAGTAATAAATGTGAATTCGTAACTTTAGATATATTTGCTTAAAGCTAAGAACATCAAACACAACATGAATTTATGATAAGTTTTTTTTCCGTTGTGATAAATTGTACTAGAGAAAAATGTGGCTTTTGGGATGCAGAACTCAATAAGACACTATACTGTTCATTCAACAACCTACCTCGCATATCATGTGTTGAGGTCCCTAGCCTATAACGAAAAGACAAGTTCAATGAACACTACAATATCTTGTTGAGTTTTATATCCCGAAAGTCCTATCTTTCTCTTGTAGAATTCATCGCAACATAAATTTGTGATAACTTTTTTTTATTGTTGTGATGAATTGTACAAGAGAAAGATCGGACTTTTAGAATGCAGAACTCAACAAGACACTATACTGTTCATTCCACTTGTCTTTTAGTCATAGAAAAGGAACCTCAACACATGATATGCGAGGTTGATCTACGTCACAAATTTGAATCATATTGTAGATAAAAGTTTAATATTAAAGTAGAGAAAAATATAAAAGGACAATGTGTTATCTTCTTCCTTCGGGTTAAGGTTTCGAATATGCAACAGAACAATAAATTTTTGAGAAATTTCTTCTCCTTTTTTTGGGGGGACTTTTAAAATCTAATCAATTCCAGAAAATTTTAAATTTGATATCTAATATATTAAGCACATCTCATCAATTTTTAATAATTATATTCAACATAGACTTCAAAATTTTTTTTACAAGAACATGTACAATTTCATCAAAAGAAGAAAAATATAGAGGAATTAAATTTCAATTAGTCAATAAATCAATACTCATATTAAGTTCTTTATGTTCTATATTTGCTTTTTATATTAAGGCACTTTGAGTTAAAACATCATGCCCTAACAATTATTTTTGCTTTTTAAGCATGACTAAAATTTAAAAATCTATTCTCCAATAAAAATTTTCCACCATATAATAACTCATGTACATTTTTTCTAATAACACAAATCCTAAAAAAATTATAAAAATCCTACATTAACCAATGATTTTCTCCACTAACATTTCTATTTATTGGGCTCAAAAATTCAAATGTCCCCATTATTGTCAAAGAATGATTGATGTCCAATGATTCAAATCTTTTACAAATTTTATTCTTAATATTTTTCATAATATCCAAAATATTTTTAAAAAAATATAATCAATTATCTATTTATATTTTTAAAAAATAGCTTTAGGATATGAATTAATTCATTTTAGCAAAAAAGAAAAAGTATTAATCAACACTTTTTTATCAAAACAAACAAACTAATTATTGTTTAGTTTCAATTTTTAATAATTCAATTCAACTTCACAATTTCTTAATTATAATTTCTATTTTCATCATCAAGCTAATTCAACTCTTACTCACATGTCATGGATTGTGAACTAATTATTTTATCTCAACTTGCAATTCTTTTAATTATATATCATATTTAATTTAATCTTGTCATTAAAAAAACAAACAAAGATAAAGATATAAACAATTTTTATTTTATTTTTACTCTTCATTGTACAATTAATTGTTAGATTACAAGTGGTGTATAATAAGCCAAGATAATTAATTAAAGTTGTGACCATCAATAGAGGGTATATGTGAGTATCTCTACTTTTGGGTTTGGAAATAAATAAATCTTATATCTTTTTTAAGTTTATAATTGACTATATTTGTTTGGTGAATGGTCCCTTTATTAGACTACATCAATGATATCATTCATGATTATTATAATTTTTTTTTTTTTGAAAAAAAAAATTTAGTAGTGTCCTCTAAATTTTGTGAATTTTGCAACTAGTTAAAGAAGTCAACCTTTGCCACATAATGATTGTTTTAGTGGTCTTATGATCGAGACGATATTGATCTCAAAATTTACATAGTGATCAATTCTAAATTGAGCTTTTAGTGAAAAATTAAAACGCTTATTTCATAAAGTTCTTTTCGTCCTAAGAAAAAATGATGTATGATAGGACAATATCTTCAAATGCGTTTCACACTATGAAAACCATATTTTACTTTGAAATAAAAGATGTGTGTCCATTATGTACATATATATATATATATATATATATATATATATATATATATATATATATTATATAGTTCTTTAATTAAAGATATAAAAGATGTACTTCCTCCGTTCGGTATTGTTTGTTATGTTTTCTATTTTTAGAGTCAAATTATAAAAATTTTGACTAACATTTTAAGATACATTTTTTCATCATATTAATTTGCAAAAAAATTGTAATTTATAGTACTTTTCATTTAGTTTCAGAATATCTATTTTTTTTGTTAAAAATATCGAATTAATGTGATCTAATTTACCTTTGAAAATTAGTCAAATTGACTTTTGATATGCAACATGACAAATATTTCTGAACGGAGAGAGTAGTGTTGAATGCCTTGAATCGGACCCGCTACAAACAGAAAGGACGGGGGTCTTAGCACTATATATAGACGCTATGGGAAACCCTATTCTGTAATTCTGTTTTTGCCTCTCCATAATAAAACTGCTCCCTCTCTTCCCGTGGACGTAGCCAATTTATTGGTGAACCACGTAAATCTGTTGTCTTGTTTTTTCGCGTTTATATTTTCTCGTATTATCTCAAATTCCGCACAACAAATTGGTATCAGAGCCTCTCGGTTAATCGGTGTTCTTGGAGAATTCGAGATGTCTGCTTTGAACGTGAAAATCGACAAATTCACAGGGAGGAACAGTTTCAGTTTATGGCAGATCAAGATGCGGGCCTTGTTGAAACAGCAAGGCTTCTGGGCGCCGTTGTCGAAAGACAAGAACGCCGTCGTTACTCCTGAGATGGCGATTCTGGAGGAAAAGGCGCACTCGACGATCATGCTGTGTCTCGCGGATGATGTCATCACGGAGGTCTCGGATGAAGAGACTGCTGCTGGTCTGTGGTTGAAGCTGGAGAGTTTGTACATGACAAAATCTCTAACCAACAAGCTGCTTCTGAAACAACGTCTATTCGGTTTACGAATGGCTGAAGGTACACAACTCAGGGAACACTTAGAGCAATTGAATACTTTGCTATTAGAATTGCGTAATATCGATGTGAAGATCGAGGATGAAGATGCTGCCCTGATTCTGTTAGTATCTCTCCCAATGTCGTTTGAGAATTTTGTTCAATCGTTCATTGTTGGGAAAGATACTGTGTCACTGGAAGAAGTCAGATCGGCCCTTCATAGCAGGGAATTACGGCATAAGGCTAACGGCACAAGTACGGACATACAGCCTTCCGGTCTGTTCACCAGTAGCGGAAAGGGAAGGAAAAACGGCGGAAAGAAAAATAAGCCGATGTCGAAGGGTGCAAAGCCGGATGATGTTTGTAATTACTGCAAGGAGAAGGGACATTGAAAATTTGATTGTCCGAAGAAGAAGAAGCAATCGGAAAAACAATCAGTGTCTGCTGCTGTTGCTGAAGAAGACACCAATTCTGAAGAAGATATTGCCCTAGTTGCGGATGAGCACACTCATTATTCAGATGTGTGGGTTCTTGATTCTGGGGCATCCTATCACATCTGTCCTAGGAGAGAGTGGTTCACGACTTATGAGCAGGTAGACGGCGGCAGCATCTCGATGGCCAACAGTTCTGTCTGCAAGGTGGTTGGGACAGGCTCGATCAAGATAAGGACACATGATGGTAGCTTCTGCACATTGAACGAGGTCAGGCACGTTCCATTGATGACGAAAAATCTGATATCTCTCAGTCTTTTGGACAGCAAGGGATTCAGCTGGTCGGGAAAAGATGGAGTCTTGCGGGTCTGGAAGGGTTCAAATTTGATTCTGAAAGGTGTCATGCGTGGTACTTTGTATTTTCTACAAGGTTCCACGGTTACAGGTTCAGCCCATGTTGCATCGTCAGAATTTCACCAGAAGGATATGACTAAGTTATGGCACATGAGACTTGGTCATATGGGTGAAAGAGGGATGCAAATTCTGTCAAAGGAGGATTTACTTGCTGGTCATAAGGTTAAGAGCCTAGAGTTTTGTGAACATTGTGTTTTTGGAAAACTACATCGCAACAAGTTTCCAAAGGCCATTCATAGAACAAAAGGCACACTTGATTATATCCATTCTGATTGCTGGGGTCCATGCCGTGTTGAGTCTTTGGGAGGCTGCAGATTTTTTGTGTCCATTATTGATGACTACTCAAGGATGACTTGGGTGTACATGATGAAGCATAAAAGTGAAGCCTTCCAGAAGTTCAAGGAGTGGAAAATTTTGATGGAAAATCAAACAGGGAAGAAGATCAAGAGGTTGCGAACTGATAATGGGCTGGAATTCTGTTGGTCTGAATTTGATCAATTCTGTAAGGATGAAGGGATTGCTCGACATCGTACAGTCAGAAATACACCACAGCAGAACGGTGTAGCTGAGCGGATGAATCAAACACTTCTGGAGAGAGCAAGGTGCATGCTCTCTAATGCTGGGCTAGATAGAAGATTCTGGGCAGAAGCGGTTAGTACAACTTGCTACTTGATTAACCGCGGACCACATACAGGCATACAGTGCAAGACACCTATGGAGATGTGGTCAGGAAAAGCTGCTGATTATTCAAATCTGAAAGCTTTTGGTTGTACGGCTTACTATCACGTCAGTGAAGGTAAGTTAGAACCAAGAGCTAAAAAGGGAGTATTTGTGGGCTACGGAGATGGAGTGAAAGGTTTCAGAATCTGGTCTCCAGCAGAAAAGAGGGTTATTATGAGCAGGAACGTTGTCTTTGATGAAAGTCCTCTGCTTA